ACTAAAAATTGCAACTACTGATGTTTCTCATTTGTATACATTTGTTAGATTTACCTTTACAAAATGTTCTTCTATAAAAAATGATGTGTTCTGAAATGAGAAAACAGTTACTTTAGGATTGATGTTAATTGATGCATAATCTTTGTCGATAGACTCTTAATTTGTTAAATTAATTAGGCATAGATCCAATCAAAATGCATCTCTTGACAAAAAAAAAATTCTACAACAGACCAGGTAAATTAGTAATTAATAGAAACAGAGTAACCTTGACCTATTTGCCTGTTGACCTGTTTGTGAACATAAAGGTAAAATTTTTGCTGTAGAAACCAGAAAGTATCCTATCAGCAAATGTAGCCCAGCTTGAGAGAAAAGGATCTCATCTAGTCTCCTGACAAGGACATGAGCAACACTGCAGTTTTATTACCACATGCTAAATACAGTATGGCAGTAGTTACAAAATCAGAGGACCTGTCATATTAACTTTGAAATATTCTCCTTATCAATGAGAAAGAGTAGAATTGCTTCCCTGGGCTTGAGCTCTTGTGCCTTTATATATATATATATATTTATGTATGTACGTATGTATGCATGTATATATGGGGTACCTGGGTGGCTCAGTTGGTTGAGCATCCAACTCTTGATTTTATCTCAGGTCATGATCCCAGGGTCATGGGATCCAGCCCCATATTGGGCTCCTTGCTGAGTGTGGAGCCTGCTTAAGATTGTCCCTCTCCTTCTGTCCCTCTCCCCGACTCACACGCTCTCTCTCTCGCTCTCTCTCGCTCTCTCTCTCTCTCTCTCTCTCAAATTAAAAAAAAATTAATTTAAAAGAAAAAATATATCGGTATATGTTATTTTGACTGTTTAGAGGCATTACGTAGGCACCCGACTTCTATGAGGGACAGTAACACCAGGGCATTATGGTTCCAACCAGGATAAAACTGTGCATTAAGCCAGGGTCATGTGGACCAATTTATTATTTGTAGTTCTCTTCACATAATAATATACTTCTCTTCACCAAAAGCTGGTTGAAGCTTACCTTACCAGTACTTGTTACCTTTCTAAGTAAAATTTAGTTAAGAATTTGCTCCAGCAGCTTATTAGGCCTTTAATGAATGCTAATTATACTCTTTATGTTTTTTGAATTAAGACACAGGAAATGATTTTACACACATAAGCAAACCCTAAGCTGATATTTGGTTCTCAGAAACTTGATACCAGCATTACTTAGAAAGAGCAGTAAGTTAGAGACCCAGGTGAGGCAGAAAACAACAGACGGGATCTGCTCAACTACTTGTCGGGCAGAATGGGGTAAATCATGTGTCTTTATAAAGTGGAACAGAAGTTTTTCAGACCAATTGGTTAACTTTGACCAGAAATGAGAGTACTTAGACACACTGCAATGCTTGCATTAAAATATGCAGAGCTGAGTATATAGTCAAATTAATATGAGTAAAACAGCCCCAAAGACTAAAACTTTGAAGATAGTGCATTATCTGAGCCAAAGTGGCAGAGCAGTGTTCCCTCTCCTTTTTAAAAAAAAAAAGTTTAATGTTTTATTTAATTTTTTTGAGAGACAGAGCACGAGCAGGGGAGGGGCAGAGAGAGAGAGAGACACAGAATCCGAAGCAGGCTCCAGGCTCTGAGCTGTCAGCACAGAGCCTGCCCCGGGGCTCGAACCCACGAACGCAAGATCATGACCTGAGCCGAAGTCAGACTCTTAACCGACTGAACCACCCAGGTGCCCCGGTTCCCTTTCCTTTTTAAGTCTTCATATGCCATCTTGTTTGGAATGGTTGGGCTTGCTTTTCGTGGCTGTTTAAAAGTCTTTTCTTTCATGAGCTTGCTACTGAACATAGTGGAAGTTCTCTCCAGTTCTTGCCTCTTAGAAGTAGATGCAAGCTTTCCCATATTGTGAACAAGATACTATATATTTTTTAAAAAGGAACCTTTGAATCCCAGTCTTTTTTTTTTCTTCCAGAAATTGAGAGGATCTTGCATCTCTAAAGAGGATAAAAAAACTTTAGTCATTCACAGGTAGAAGAAATGGAAGGTTAAAAATGAGATGGTCCCATTGTGTTAATAAAACAGGGTCAGATAAAAGGATTGCCTGGCCGGGTGATTCTTTTCCCACACTGAAGATGAATCACTGTGTTCATTTAGTGTGTAGCTATCAAGTTTAGAAAAAATATTAAAGGAAAAGTGTATCTCTAAAAACATCCACCTGAAAAACTTACTTTAGGAGTTACCGTGGAGAATTAGGTTTCAGACTGTTTTATTTAGTGATGTGTTTCCAGTGTTGAGTTTCATTTTGTTTTGGTCAGAACTAAAAATTGAATGGGATCATACGATTTTACCACATGTCTGTGGCACAAAAAGAAGTATGTAAAATGTATTTGTGAATACAGCCAATAGGATATGGTAACTGCTTTCTGACCTCTCGCCTCCCCCCCTTTTCTTCCTTGAAGTTGTATAGGTTTTTCTGAAAGCTCTTCAGAAAATATTTTTTCTGAAAATTTTTATATTTCAGGTAAATATTTTTCATAATTCTCTTAAGTTTAACAATGCACAAGGATTTACTGAATCACTGATGTAAAGTCCTCTTAACTAAATCTTTATATATTTGTAACTGAGTCAAAACAGTAAAACATTTCACAGAGTACATTATGTACACTATTGGCAATCAACATCTATTAGACCTAAATGAGGTATTTATGAGTTCCCACTGAAATTATGGCATTATGTTGTATAAATGTCCAAAAGAATATTTTTCTGTTCTCACCATTTTCTTTTCTCACCTTTCATAAATAAGAAGGAATTAACTCTTGGCATAAAGTATTAGATTTTATTAGATGAGCTTGTATGAAGACTTGACATTGCATGCAGCATAACAAAGAGAAAATGTTAGAAATTAGCTCAACTTCTATGTACTCAGGCCAAACTCTCCAAGTGAAAGAAGTCTTCATACTTAAATTAGCACCTAGTAGGGCTGACATAATGCTTGAGCAAATTCCAAACTGCACTTGCAGCTGAATGGATCTTGAAGATTTGGGAGTGCCCCTTGCCGTAATCTCTTCCAGCATGACGTAGAGAAAGTGCCTAGTGGGGCACCTGGGTGGCTCAGTTGGTTAAGCTGAGTCCGACTTTGGCTCTGGTCATGATCTCACAGCTCATGAGTTTGAGCCCCGCATTGGGCTCTGTGCTGACAGCTCAGAACCTGGAGCCTGCTTCAGATTCTGTATCTTCCTCTCTCTCTGCCCCTCCCCTGCTCACACTATGTCTCTCTCTCCTTCAAAAATAAACATTTATTTATTTATTTATTTATTTATTTATTTATTTATTTATTTATTTTAAATAAACATTTAAAAAAAGAGAGAGAGAGAGAAAGAAAGAAAGTGCTTAGTGAGTTTCTGCTAGGTGAATGAAACACTTTAAGCATCTACCACTTGTGGGGCACACTGATGCATAGGAGTTCTGATCCTTTGTGTTTGTTTTGGGGACCCATAAATAAAGGTAAACTTATATTTAGCCATACTAATGTGTTTATTCAAGCTTTATAATTATGAGCTTTTTTAAAAAGTTTATTAATTTTGAGAAAGAGCATGCATGAGGGGCAGGGGGGAGAGAGAGAGAGAGAGAGAGAGAGAGAGAGAGAGAGAGAGAGAGAGAAAGAGAAAGAGAGAATATTCCAAGCAGGTTCCACACTGTCAGCACAGAGCCCGGTTCAGGGCTCGATCCCATGAAGCCATGAGATCATGACCTGAGCTGAAACCAAGAGTTGGATGCTTAACCGACTGAGCCACCCAGGTGCCCCATGATATGAGCTTCTGTGCTTAGGAAGAACAGTTATAAAATATAAACTACATAAATTTTGCTGTGGTGCATATACAGATATTAAAGTTGAATACATAAAGACATTATCAAAACCATGTGGACTTATCCTGTAGTGTCTAGGGAAGCTAGAGCTGACATGTAGCTCCTTCCTGGTGAATTGACAGGTCATATGACCTCCCATTTGATTTTATTTGGTTGAACATATTAAATCCTTTACCACTTTTTAGTGTCTTTTAGATAATGTTTTGTTATTAAAAATCTCCGTTTGAAGCCAGCCTTTTCAGTTCTAACATAAACAGACAGTAAATAAATTTGTTTATTCATATATGAATATTTACCTTTTTATGGATTTTTAGTCTTGTATTCCTAACCACACTAACAGAGAATTTTTCTTCTGGATTCTTGAAAATTTATTTGGTTGTGTCAGTGATTAACGTGGGATTTTATCTCTAGGTTTTCAGTTTGTTTTCAGATTACTTAACTGTAAACAATTTAGCTAGCTTCATATATCTTCTCAGAACATTGTTAAGTGCTTAATAAATTACTCCCTCACTTGCTGACCCCTTTTGCCTGAAAATATTACAGAAACCCAATAAATGGTAAATGAGGCTATGAGCTGAGGGGAGAGGAGAAGCATTAAAGAAAATCTCTTTCCCTGAACATGAATCCCAGAATTTGAACTATTTCTCCTTAGTCTGCTGAGGAGTAGAAGAAAAAGAACGAACAGCAAAATAAAGATGGGGCGAAGAGGTGATCCTCATGCCTGTAAATGCCACATAATAAAATGGGCCTCTTTGGAAAGTTGGCTTGGCATGGGAAGCACTGTTTTTTTATTATGGAAAAAAAATCTACCTCTGGTGCTACGATTATATAACATCTTCATTGCCAGTAGCCTCAAAACTAAAGATTGTTCAAGGCAAAGTTAACATGGCTTTATTATAGCCCCTGGAAGAAAGAGCCTTTACTCTTCATATCTCTTTGACAAGAGCCAATAATTTCTTGTACAAATGTTGCTGTATAGGTAGAATTTGTTTTAACTGACATTGTCATGGTTTATCACTCTCCTGTGTGTTCAAACAGTTTGTCTTCAAACTTTCAAGGAGCTTTATTTAAGAAACAGCCCTTAAAATGGGATAGACGATGACAGTTCTACTTTGGTGTTGCAGATCTTGTGAAGCCCCCTGGCAACTCTGCCCAGGCGCCAGCCGATTTACCTTTGGCGGTCAACACAGCACCGCCGTCCACCCAGGTAGATTCATCCTCCGCTGCTCCACCTCCTCCCTATCAGCTAATTAATCTTCCACCACACCTGGAAACTGTTGGCATCCAAGAGGATCCTCAAGACTACCTCTTGCTAATCAACTGTCAAAGCAAGAAGCCTGAACCCACCAGGTAAATACCTGTGCGTGTGTGCATGCGTGCATGCGTGCGCACTTAGAATCTTGAAACTTTTTAAATTCTGATTTGAAGGCTTAACAGAAACCCAGCTATCTAGGGTTATAGTTTAGGCTTACTATATTTCAGGTTATATTCTTCTAATGGTTTCTGATATTCAGGAGTTTTATGGAAGAAACGCATTCTCTACTATCTTTGGCAAAAAACACTTGTACCTACAAGGCTCTTTTAGAAATCTGTCTCCTGTTTCATAGTCTTTGTTACAGACTCACAGTATTACTTGCTTAACAGATTGCACTGATTTATAAATGGTGATCTTGCTCCATTTCTTATGTGATTGTAAACCAGCCAAGGGTCATCTTTTGTTTCTGAAGAAGGAGAGGAATACCTACTACTAGAAGATTTTGAAAGCAAAACGATTCCGTTGCAGTGAGTGTGTTGTGGTTGCTTTGGGTCTGTGTGAGAAATTAATTATACAGGTAAAATCCCAATATAGCAAATTCTATGGGAATATATAAATTGGGTTTTAGTGAAATTTGATGAAATCTAATCAATCAAGTATATTGCTAAAAACCGTAAAACTTTCCAGTCATCGTACCTAGCCGTGAAGCAGAGCTTACCTCAAGCTCTGAGTTTATACATTTCTAAGTAGAAACAAATCTGTGGACTTCAGTGCTTGCCCAAAGGTATCATAAAGCCTTCCCCAAATCCTTGGTTTCCCCATCATCTCCCTTCCTGCTTCTTTCTTTTCTTCTAAGCTGTGCAGTAGTTTCATTTGATCACTCTTTTCATTTTCTGTTAATTGGAAGGCCAGAGGTAACAGAATTGGAGCCAGAAAATGAAGACCAGAGAACCCGTGTCTGCCATCAGCAGTGTGGTGGCAACTAGTGATGTTGGGGATATTTATGTCCTCACTTGAGGAATATAAAAGTGGGAATTACATCGTAGATGTGAAAGATGCTTTTTAAATGGAGTGATTGGATATTAAGCATTATTTTATAACAAAAAATTGTTGTGATTGTTTTCATGGAGAAAGTGACTGTTACTGGACTAAGATGGTACAAAGTGCTTGTTCAACAATTTTTATATAGAATTTGTCAAGAACCACAGATTAGGTTGTTGTGAATGATTCCCCAAGATAATGGAATACAGACATTCCAAAGATGGGTTTCTAGATATTTGTTGTAATGGGATTTTACCTGTAAGAGCAAAAAAACAAAAACAAAAACAAACAAACAAAAATCTTTTTATAAATCAACACTAGTTAATAATATCAAATTCTAACTTGATTTTGCTTGTTTGCTGTGAGTATTTAAAATTATACATTCGCAACTTTGTTACCTCTGCTACTAACTAAGATTTTATTTTATAGAGATTCACAATTATTTTTCAGTAACAACTTTTTAAAAGCCAATAGCTAAGTCACAGTTTTCAGTGCATTTTCTTGTTATATGGTATCTTTCATTGATCTCATTGGTGTTACAGCTTTCCTGTTACAGTAGAAATTATGCTGAGAATCCCTGCTCAGATAGATTTTGTATCTATGTATTTTGCAGAAGTGACAGTTCATTGACAGATATTTATGAAGCACATAATAAGTGCCCACTGTCTTGGTAGGTGCTGTGAAGGAACAGACTAACTACATAAGCCGCCTCAGATACAGTCACCCTCAGAGTTTACAAGCAAAGCTTATGAAGAAGTCAAAACATGCGAACGTTAAGTGTCTGCAGGTGAAGGCAGGAGAATTGCTTTGCAAACTCTTGTTCATCTGGCAGGACTCAGGATTCAGCTCAGACGTCTACTCCTCTAGGAAACATTCCTCCAAACTCCCAGCCTGAACTAAATGCCTCTGTGGGTTTTCATAGCATCCTGGTCATGCCTCCCTTTTATCACAGAACTGGAAATAGTTTGATATATATAGTTTATTGTTCGCTAAACCATAAGCTAGTCAAGAGCAGGGAACTTATTACTTGTGCTTCTAGCTTCTCTTAACCCACATGTTTGAATTAAATGAAGTGCAAATTTAGAATATGTGTAGATGCATTAGAAATTCCTAGAAGGGACAGTGCACGTGTTCTTAAAATGGGAGGTGAAACGTTTCCAAGGAGGTGTAGGATTTGAACTATACTTGTTGGTGAGAGAAGAGGACCCTGTCATTAGCAATCTGCGTAAAAAGCATTTGAGAGAAAGGCGAGGTGAGAGTGAGGGGCCAGAGGAAGCAAATGAGAGGAAAGCCTGCCCAGAGTAGAGGGTTCCACTGGGGGAGAGTAGGGCATAAGATAGGGCATGTCAGGTGGAGCCAGGAATGGTATAGCCTCAGCCAGGGATGGTATAGCCAGGGATGGTAAGTGGAGTTGTTTGTGGGCTTTTTTTGTAGTTCCCACAGCCTGCTGGGACCTTTAACAGTATTTTCTCCAAATAGATGAGTGATATGAAAACCATGTTCTGAAAATACTGACCTTATAGCAGCCTCGCAGTATGGTCCCTTGAGTTCACTGGAAGAGGGAGAAACTGGAGGAAGGAGGTCCACTGAGACTTCTTAGGAGGGTTCGGTGGTGTGGATCTTAGCAGAGACCCAGACCTGAACTTGGGGTGGGGACAGTGGGAACAGAGCAGGGAACAGTTACTTGGTTAGGAAGAAGGAGTCAGTGCCTGAAGGGGGATGGTGGAGATCAAAGAGAGTGAGTCAACGCTGATTGCATTTTGAGCCTAGAGAATCTGGATAAAGACATTTCTTTTCATGGCAAGTCAGAAAGGACAATCAGTTTGAGAAGTAAGTTGAATTTGGCTTGGTATGCATAAGCAGGGTTAACACTGGGGTAACCATATAGAAATATATTTGAACAGTTTGAAAATATGGGACTCAAGAGTTTGGTGAGATGATGGGAGTCATCAGCATTCAGTGGAATGTGAAGTCATGAGAAAGGAGGGTTTTTAAATGGTGTGTGTGGTCAAGAATCAGAATCCAGAAGACTGGATTCTGTTGGCTGTTCCCGGGTGGAGACACGGGGAGAAGGAGCCAGTCAGTGAAACAAGGGAGTAATCAGCGAGGGAGAATGGAAGTGAGGATGTTACAGTATGGGTTCCGTGACACCAGCGGTGGAGAGTTTGAATAAATACATGTGATACATAGTGCTAGGTGTTACTAAAAGATCAGGGAAGATCAGACCTTAAATAACTCTCACAAGTTACATTTTAAAAGATTAAATTCAAGTTCCTGCCGGACTTTAGACATCACTCAAAAGAGGTTAAGTATCTTGTTAACCGTTAAGGAAGTGCAATGTGCTGGTATCACTAGCTTCATTTTGGCTTTTACCCAAATTTTGTGATACCACAGAAAGCAAAGACTGGAAATGTACCCAAAACATTAAATATACTCTAATGAGATTTCTCAAGGTTAATTATTTTTTGGAGTTGGCGAACTCTGTGCGTTATATTTTGATCGTCTTTATAGTATTGGCTGAGTGTTTGTTAAAGAAAATTAGTAGAAAGGAAGATATACAAACCTTTCAAGTTGCCACCTCCTTGTAGGTCACATTGAATTTATTCAATACCAGGAAATCTTTAGACTTATAGTCTTGCAGAACAACGAATTTGCCACAGGTGGGCTAAAGAGCAATGGACCAGCTTGATAAACTGCATTGGCACGAGGTTTCTGCATGCTCTTCAGGGGAAATGATTTTCCTTGTGTCTATGTCTTAATCATTTACCTTTCTCAGAGTTTTGTACCTTTCTAATTCCAGTGCTTCAGGGATCATGGATTTAATAGGTGGATTTGGGGGTGTGGGCACGTACAGGGCAGGAATTAGGGAGAATGCTTTTGGTGGTTTTGTGGTGGTGGTTTTATTGTCTGGTGTATAATCATAAAAACTAAGGAACATTCATGCTTTAAATCTTATGGATCACACAAAAAAATCTAATGAAAAAAGCCATGTAGTTTGATTGCTAAACTATAAATATATTTATTAAAATGTAGTCTTATGTCTTCACCGTGTTTTATTTTCTGTCATTAACAATTTTTATTTAGAACACATGCTGATTCTGCAAAATCCACCTCTTCTGAAACAGACTGCAATGATAACGTCCCTTCTCATAAAAATCCTGCTTCCTCCCAGAGCAAACATGGAGTGAATGGCTTTTTTCAGCAGCAAATGATGTATGACTCTCCACCGTCTCGTGCTGCATCTGTTTCTGTAGACTCCAGCCTTTATAACCTGCCCAGAAGTTACTCCCACGATGTTTTACCAAAGGTGTCTCCATCAAGTACCGAGGCAGATGGAGAACTCTATGTTTTTAATACCCCATCTGGGACATCAAGTGTAGAGACTCAAATGAGGCATGTATCTATTAGTTATGACATTCCTCCAACACCTGGTAATACTTATCAGATTCCACGAACATTTCCAGAAGGAACTTTGGGACAGACGTCAAAGCTAGACACTATTCCAGATATTCCTCCACCTCGGCCACCGAAACCACATCCGGCTCATGACCGATCGCCTGTGGAAACGTGTAGTATCACACGCACGGCCTCAGATACTGACAGTAGTTACTGTATCCCTACAGCAGGGATGCCACCATCACGTAGTAATACCATTTCCACTGTGGATTTGAACAAATTGCGAAAAGGTCAGCTCTAACTGGCTTCTACTGTGTTAGAAGTTAACGATAGAAAATCTGTTTATCTGAATATTTGTTCTTTTCAGCATAGAATGATGGTAAATGATAGTCCTTTTTTTCCTCAGCTCTGCAGTCACCCACTCATGTAGGAAGATGGCAGAGTCTCAGTAGATCCTTTGAAGGGTGTTTGTGCATGCAGCTTGTGCCTGTGTGCATGCTCTGCTGGAAGGGAGAAAGAGGTGGAGTTTTCCATCCCTGAAGAAGTATGGCCTTAGTAATACCTTCCTGCCAAAGGAAGTGTGCACCCCTCTTTCCTGCTTTCCATGTATCCTGGGTGTGTAGACTCTAATGGGACAGAGGAGCAGGAAAAGGACCAGCCACAAAGCCTCTCCGAGTCATCCCTTTCCTGTATTTGTGTGCCATCATAGCTGCTTCCGCGTCACATCTGTTGGGCTCTGTTTCCTTCCTTCCTCGATAAGCAATTTATACGTTGTACCCAACGAGTATACTCAGTCCTAATCAGTTGTTTGTTTGGTTTTATTTATTTTTAAAGCTCTGAATCTTCTCTCCCCTTACCCTAGCCACTTCACTGAGTCCTATACCATCTCCTAGAGCCTGCCAAAAATTACAGACCTTGAGAGGGGAAAAATTCAGTCTGGGTTCCAATCTGAGGTTCTTAAAGTCCTAAAAAATAGAAGGCCAGAGTTTAAGAGGCACATACCCTATAAACTATGTGCTAACGTTTCTGTGTTTTGTGGTAGTTATCCACCTGTCCTAAAGAAAATGAAGATTTAATGCACCGTGAATAGTACTAATATGGATACTTTATTTGGCCATTCAATACCAGTTTTTAATTCCCTACTTGAAGTAGCTCTGCAATCTAATTATAGGTTACTGAGATATAAGTTAGGCCCAACGTGGTGCAAAAGATGGGAAAATAGAAGTATTTCTTTTCTCCGTCCTTAAATACCCATCTCATCCCAGGCTTAGACAATCATTCATTGCCATAATCAAATGCTGGTACTGGTTAGCATATCAGTGAGTGTCTGTTTTCTGGTGGTTTAATGTGCCCATTCAAGATACTGTTCTGTGAGCATCTTTTTAAAAATCTGCGCATGTGCATGCTTACCTGCATGCATGCGTGTAAAGAAAGAGAACAGATCATTCTGAGAATCCTAAGAGATGGCAAAGATGGGAAGAAATGCTTATAGTTTGTTTTCTATTTTAGATGCTAGTTCTCAAGACTGCTATGATATTCCACGAACATTTCCAAGTGACAGATCTAGTTCACTTGAAGGCTTCCATAACCACTTTGTAAGTATAACTGACCTTGGTATCAAGTGTGTTTCATTGTCAGGATCTTCACACTTAGTGCCCTGAAACTAAATGAGATCATGAAATAAAAGTCCTTTCAGATCCATATGAATAGGTGTGACTTACAACTGTGTTTTCCTGTTTGATAATAGTTTTTGTTTAATGTATGTGTGTTTTAGAAAATCAAAAATATATTGACAGTGGGAAGCGTATCAAGTGAAGAACTGGATGAAAATTATGTCCCAATGAATCCCAATTCTCCTCCACGACAACATTCCAGCAGTTTTACGGAACCAATTCAGGAAGCAAATTATGTGCCAATGACTCCGGGAACATTTGATTTTTCTTCGTTTGGAATGCAAGTTCCTCCTCCAGCTCATATGGGCTTCCGGTCCAGCCCAAAGACCCCTCCCCGAAGGCCAGTTCCTGTTGCAGACTGTGAACCACCCCCCGTGGATAGGAACCTCAAGCCCGACAGAAAAGGTAAGAAGGGCCTTGGCATAGTGAAAGGGCCAGGGACTGCCAGCTTAGATCTGCACTTAACTGTCGTTAAATCCAAAATGGAATTGGGACTAGAAATTCTGAAGTATTTCATAGTACCTTAGTTATCAATCTGTTCATGTGCGGTGTTGCTATTTGTAGATTAATAATTGTTGTATGTTGATGGCCCAGGTGAGATTTCTGCCTCCTGTCTCTAGAGCAGAGGTTACAAACTGAAATACTCACAAGGTTTGGCAAGCAACAGGAGAAAATTAGGAGAAACTGGAATGCACTTGTCCATTCTAAATGGAATAACTAACTCCTTTGTTGACTTGTGAAAATAATACGGGCCCATATGGGCAAATCATCTGATGTATCAAAAGAAGCCAAAAATTTCAGCACTTACATATAAGTATTATCTTTTGATTTTGTAGTTTGATCAGCTAGTTTAATTTAAAAACAACCAAATAAAAACATTGCAGACCAAACCAAACACTTCTATAGGCTAGATTGGTCTTTGACTGCTGTTTTGTAACCTCTTCTCTGGAATATAGAATATCAAATCAGATTTGAGATTATTAGTGCATTTGCTAAAATTCTTTAAGAATAGTGAGGTTGCTTGCACAATTTTTTCCAGTCCATATGACAACTTCTTAAAAATTATTCTGCCTTTGCTGGGTTATTATAAATGCTTCTAGTCTGTTCTTTCACACTGGCCCTCCTAAGTAACATAAAATTCTACAGTAGCATGGTTTGCTAAGAACTCAATATAAAAGAAAATTCTCAAACTGGTAATACATACCCAGGTTTTGGGTTTGAGTGGTTAAAACCCAGACAACTAGCAGTGCTGCAGCATGCTGTTAGTGTGATTTAATCTTGACAACGAAGTAAGTTAGTATATTGGCTCTGTGATAAGTTGGCACCATTTCTGGGGAATTCAGCACATTTGAAAAGTCTCATGTGCTGTATATAGCTTTTTAAGAGCATGTAATATTTGTGTAAATTTCTCATTAACCTGGATTTAGATCATTAATAATAATTCTAATTAAGTTCCAATTGTGGGGAACAGAGTGTGAGACTCACTCAGGGTATACGAAGAAAATGAGTTTTGTTTTATTTTGCCTTTAAGTAAGTAAGGATGGTCCTGTGCTGAAATGAGAAAGTTACTGGAAACAGAGGCACTCCCAGGGGACTGTCCCTTTGTCCTGCTGTCTGCATTTCTGTCCTCTGGGAAGTCTTTGCATCTGCTTTGTTCTATCTCACGTTATTTCCTTCTTTTCTGTTTCCTGTTCTATATCCTCTGCACAATTTTTTGCTTTCCTAGAGCTTTGGCCTACAGTGCCCCTCTGTGGCCTTGGTTCTGCCTCAGGGCCCCTTTTTAATGCCCTTGCAGCTTCCACATCTGCTGCTAATTGCCTTGATCATTATTCACTCACTTTAGAGTGCTCATGGATAATCCGATTGCTGTTATTTGTCTTTTCACACCAGACCATGTGATTAATTGCAGGCCAGCCCATAGACTGGCTGCCACTGGTCAGCTGCCCACCTTTGGTCTCACAGCTGGAAAGATAACCATGCGCAACACCCACAGCCACCCAGGCAGCCCCAGCAGCAGAGCCATAGTCAGGAATTAGTTACCTTAGAAAGGGTGTGAGCATCACAGGCTTTTTATTTGACAACTTTTCCTTTTGCTTCTTTTTGTCCTCATTTGTCTTTAAATCTATTTAGACATTTTTAGTCATTTTCTTCTTTGCATACAATATGCAAAAGATCCCCTTATTTATATGTTAGAAAAGTTTTAAGATCTTTTAGTATTCTCTAGGTCTGACAGCTCGTGTACCCCATTTTATAATATGTATTATCCTATGTATATATCATGATAATATGGCATGTATGCTATGTATCATTTATATTACATATATGTATAATTATACCTCCCTATTTATATGGTGAAAGTACAGTATATTCTAAGTACATTAGAGATTAATTGCCCCAGTACTCTAAACCAACCTGAAGTGACTTTATAGTAGAACAGAACAAAGTAGGTTCTTAGTTACTTCTGGAGGTTGTGTTCAGTCTTAAAAGTTAAGTGAACTATTGAGAGACAATCCTGAGTTCATTGGCCAGTTGCTTATTTGGTATCTATGCTTAGATACAAAATGAACTGAGAAAGCACCCAGAATAAAAATATATAGTTTAGGCAAAATCAAGAAGAATTGGTTTAGCAAAACAGTAAAGAGATTACTAAAATCATAGTAATTTAAAAAAAAATAAGGTTTTGCTTTTCGTTAGTACTATTCTACTTTTTAAATAAATATACAAGAAAGGAAGCATGAGAGACTATTTAACTTGGCAGTTTGTCAACTCACTTTAGAAAGTTAAAGCGATTCAAGAAAAATATATTTTAAAACCCGAGTAAAGATCTTGGAGCAGTTTGTCTTTAAAAACTTAAGCTGTAAAACAAATGTCTTTTTTGTTCTTCTTCTCATGAAATTCTTCTCATGCATAGCAGCAGATGAGTCTGTTTTACTTTCACATTTTGTGACATCAGATGCATGTCTCAATCTATTGTTCTAGTATCTCTTATTAACTAAACTTCATAATTAGCAAACCGAATTCTATCAAATATGGCTTGATTCGTTTCAAAGCCCAATATAACTGGTTCAACACCCAATATAACCAATTTCTGTGATTGTCTTCTTTAGAAGAGTCTGCAACAAATGAGTGACATTCTGGCCTTGTTTATAACCCCAAATATAGATGTCAGCTGCTGTAGTTAGCAGTTCAGATACGTTTTTCAAATACTTCTGAGTAACTGAAGCTTCAGAAATACATAGATGTTCTTAACATTTATGTTTAATGTATTTTCATGGACCCTTTGCCCGTCACCCAACTTGTGGTAGCTATATTTTCAGCCATACTATTTCTGTCATGATAGTATTTGTTTTGAACCAAGTTTTGGGTATATTAATAGAGGAGAAAAAGCATAATTTATATAGGTTGTATTAAATATAGAAGATCATATGAGTCATTGTAAATGCAGAGCAAATTGTTTTGATTGCTTCCACTAAAATTTATATTTTACTTGAAAATCAAGTTTATAAAGTTTTTGGAAATTTCTGTATTTATTATGGCTTCTCTTAAAGTAAATCATTACATGAACCTACCATATTTGATCACTGCACTGACCTAGGTCCCCCCTACTTCCATCCAGTCTCCTTCTAACATGACGCGGCAGCCATTTGAGCCTCAGATGCTATCTTTATAGTTTGTTTTCTTCAGCTTTGTCCATCCATGGCTTTCTGCAGTAGTTCTGACCATTAGTTATTGTATTGATTTTGATTTATTTCTGGTATTTTTGTACATTAGTCTGATTAGAGTATCTTCAGGTCTTCACCTCAGTATAGGTGAAGACCAGTCCAGATCCAGAAGACGAGTCCCAAGGATCTTCCCTAGATGGGTCTTTTTGGCACAGTTGACATATGGGCTCTAAATGTTTTTTCAAGAGATCTTTTAAAGTTTTTGACTGTGACTAAAAATTAACATACTTTTTATTTTTACTTTTTTAATGTTTATTTATTTATTTATTCACTCTGTTTAGAGACAGAGTGAGCTTGAGCATGAGCCGAGGGAGGGGCAGAGAGAGGAAGAGAGAGGATCCCAAGCAGGCTCCATGCTGAACATGGAGCCTAACTCGGGGCTCGATCTCATGACCTGAGCTGAAATCAAGAGCTGGATGCTTAACTGACTGAGCCACCCAGGTGCCCCAACATGCTCTTTAAAAACTACTTTTATACTATAATAAATGTTTGGGAGTTGGATGAATGATACTAGTAAATAAAACTAGATTTTTAATAAACAACTATTAAGTTTGAATCTCAAGTCAGATTTTTGGTTTAGAGTTAGAATTTAAAAGAAATGAGAATGGAGTGCATTTTTGGAGAGCCTTGCTGGCTCAGTCAGAAGAGCATGAGAGTCTTGATTTTGGGGTCATGAATATGAGTCCCACATTAGGTATAGAGATGACTTAAATAAATACACACTTTTTAGAACAATGGAGTGCATTTTTATAGCATAACTTTTACATGCAGGGGTTTTTTTTTTTTGCTGAAAATTCTTTACCTTCCAATATATAAGTATCATTATTATATTCCTCTTCATACAATGAGACTATTAAAACAGGTGTAAAAGTTTTTCACGATACTACCCGGATTACTTTTTGGAATTTAGCAAAGGATAATAATGTTGTGAATTATCTTTCTTCTTTCTTAATTTTCGAGATGCCTAATGGAAACAAAATGATCTGTAAAACTGCAGAAGAGTAAATATTTTAGGCTAAGATAAACCTGTAATTATACACAAAATAAATGTTCTACTTTGTGCTGAATTTATGTAAGCAGTGCCTATTAAAATAATACTTGATAGTGTACGGACTTTCCAAAAAAGATTGCATCTGCTTATTTGAAACTTGACCTCGTGTGACTTCCTTGACCATATTTGGGGTGACCAACTTTTGAAACAACATTCAGTTGCTCTTAGTTTCCATTTAAAGGACAACAAAAAATTATGGTGTTGATCAGATTAAACACCACCAGCTGTAAGAGAACTGCAGTTCATCCACATAGATTTATGTGCCTGCCATTATAGGATATAGTCTTTGCTGGGTCTTGGGTCTTCGAATACAAGGAAGGTATAAATGGCTTCCCTGAAGAAGCTCACTGTCTAGTGGAAGAGGTTGAAAAGTAAACACATTATCATAATTAGCGTGGAAAGGACTGTGGTTGAGGTAAGCTTTTGGCACTGTTATCTAAGCTCCCCTGAGGAAAGTCTGAGGGGGTGAATGGCAATTAAACGATGGTAGAGGAGGGGAGGATGGCAGAGGTTGTTTTAGTCCGAATAAATGGCATACCCAGATCCTTTAAAAGAGGACAGATGGGACTGGCTGAGTCGCGAGTGGGAGGGAGGAAATCAGATGGGAAGGGAGGACGGGAGTAAAGTATGAATGGAGGAGGGAATGCCAAATGCCTTGCAGGTGCCTGGTCCTGAGGGTGTTATAATCCATGCTAATGAGTCTGGGCTTTATTCTGGGTACACCATTAAAGGGTTTTATGCAGGCAAGTAACATAATCAGGTTAGCCCCTAGAAAGCTCAGTTTAAGATTTAAGGATATGATAGAAAAAAGAAAAAAACCTGTATTCTCTAAAATGTTATAAAAATCACATTTTTTCAGCATCTTCCTCAGAGAGTGCTTCGCTCAGTTTTCCAAATCCAAGGTTCTCAAAGCCTTGGTTTAGAAGTGATTAGATGGGTAAAGGCATAACAAAATCCCTTTCCTCGCTCTCATGGTCCCTCAACTTGGGGACTTAAGTGATTTTTACAAGTTTTAAGGGCATTTAGAATATAAGTGGAAGTCATTTAGCCATACAGTGTGAGCTCTTCACTTTCAGGGAAACAAACCAGGTAAGTGAAGTGCACTTTAAAAACAGGGAGTTTTAGGGGCGCCTGGGTGGCGCAGTCGGTTAAGCGTCCGACTTCAGCCAGGTCACGATCTCGCGGTCCGGGAGTTCGAGCCCCGCGTCAGGCTCTGGGCTGATGGCTCAGAGCCTGGAGCCTGTTTCCGATTCTGTGTCTCCCTCTCTCTCTGCCCCTCCCCCTCCCCCGTTCATGCTCTGTCTCTCTCTGTCCCAAAAATAAATAAACGTTGAAAAAAAAAATTATAAAAAAAAATAAATAAATAAAAACAGGGAGTTTTAAAGAATGGAATTCAGACTTGCAGATTTTTTTATTTTTTTAGGTAAATGAAACAGACTATTGTCATTATAAATATAAATTAAAACTTACAGAATAAAGATTAGAGAGAAAGTAGAAGCTAGAAAGACTCCTAAGAGATCTGCCATGGCAGCTGCTAATAGAGAAAACAAAGCAGGTTTGTGGTGCTGAGTCAAAGGATAAATTCCGTTTTGAACATGTAGTGTGAACGCTGGCGGAATATCCATATGGGGTAGTTGTGCAGAGGTGTAGGTTAGGATCTTCCAGGGAAAGATCTAAACCAGAGATGAAGATTTATTAATTTGTACTCCAAATGAGGGAATAAGTCACATGATCCAGAGATTGACCCCCTCAAGGGTTAAAGTCCAATAGGAATTTCGCCAGTAGTGAACGCTGTCTGCAAAAGAAATAATGTTGCTTTATCTGTTCAAATTTAGTGTAGCTAAAATCAGGTTGCAAACTGCCTTGGATTTAAAAGTTAACGCTCAAATGAGTTCCTCTGCTTACTCTCAGCATTTGAGAATCAATGTATCTCCAAAGTTGGTTTATTTTTGCCTTTACTTTATTATTCTTATTTCTTCTTATTTCATACTTTTCTCCAACAATCAGGGAAACATTCAAATATTTGCCAGTAGACAGTAGAGAAGACAGGGCCACGACAGGCATACCAACACCTTGGATCCGTTTTCACCTTTCTCTCCTCATAAGCAATAACTGGGCTCTCATTTGGGTATGACGTTCATTTCTTTCCGGAACATGAATGTCAAATTGAGTTTGGAGGGATGTAAAGAAATAAAGCTAACAAAATGCCTAAGTGACTCACTACAATTCACTGCCACATTTCCACATTGCGCCTTGAGCCCCAAAATCATCCTCAAGCTTTGCATGAAGTGGAAAATACAGGTAAATTTTATAAATACACTTTTAAAACCGCACTTGATACAATATTTTCTTTTTATTTTTTCAACATTTATTGCTGAGAGACAGAGACAGATCACGAGCAGGGGAGGGGCAGAGAAGGAGGGAGACACAGAATCTGAAGCAGGCTCCAGGCTCTGAGCTGTCAGCACAGAGCCCGATAAAGAGCTCGAACCCACGAACTGTGAGATCATGACCTGAGCTGAAGTCGGACGCTTAATCAACTGAGCCACCCAGACTCTCCAATACAGTATTTTTTATTAAGAAAACCAAGGAGTACCCTTGAGATACTTAAAAAAAACAAGTAGAATTGGTTTGGAGAAGAGATGATCATTTCAGGGTCAGGTATTAGAAAGATCACTATGGGGACTTGTCAGACAATGGAAGAATGGAGAGTTCACAGGCAGGTGGATTTAGCAGTCACATGACCTTGAGTATTTAACTGTAAACATAGATGAACATAACTGAGGGTGCAAAGTTGAGAGATGCTGAGGGTGACCACTGGGAGATAACCACACTGAAAACTCGGAAGGAGGCTGAGAGCTAATGAAAGTGGGTCTTGCTGAAAAGGAGCAGAGCAAAAGACACTGAGTGAACACCACCAAACCAAAAGTTGCTCTGAAAAGCAGTTTGTAATTATTAAATGTCACATTACTCACGAATCAATGATCTGTGGCTTTAAGTAGATGTAAGATCTCAAACTGAACTTAGCAGTTCAAAACTGACCTCTAAACACTGGTTTCTTCGGATTTTCTATTCCCAAAGGGATAGACAATGTGGCCAGCACAGGAGCATACACCAGCAGTGGGAGGTTAGGGGAAGCCTTCATTTGGCCTCCAGTTAATGTTGTGACCCAAGCAAGTCACTTAACCTCTTTCGTCCTTTAAGGGTATCTCATCCATAAAATGAAGAAGCTGGATTTGATCTGTAAAAGCCTTTCGGCTGTAAAATAAGTGTATTTTTCTGTAGTAAACCTTACCCTCTGCCTCTTACTTTTTTTTTTTTTGAAGGGAAGTACATTATTTGGGGGAGTTTATAAAAAGCTGACATCCTCCATTGTTTTAGGAAAGTGCCCTGCCATTGGGGGCCCTGGATAGGTCAACATTAGGGGTAGGATCATGGCCTCAAATTTTATCACTCACATTTTAAACTAAGCCTGCCCCCTTTCTGAATAAACTCAAAGTATTAATTACCTAACTCAGAAAATTGGTTCATTAGAGAAGTCTTCCTATTTTATAACCTAGAGACTCATATTTTCAGAAACTTTTAGCTTTTGGTAGATCAGGTACTAGATATTGTCATTTAATCGGCAAATTCTGATTTTGCCACCTATTAGATGCCGACTAAATTTTGTAATTGCCAAAAAAGAAGTAAATTTGGTGCCACTGAGAAGAGAGCAAATAACTGATTTAATAATCAAATAACTGATTTAAACGATGTTGCTGCTCTAGCGTCCAAGCTTCCTGTGGGAATAAGTGAGGCCACTGCTGGGTGTTAACTCTGTACTTTTCATAAGGCTTTTCAGCAGTACTTACATGTGGCAGAGAGTAAATGAAAAGAAAATAATGGCAACTGAATTTATGCTTTCAAATACTTAAATCAAAGCTAGACAGTCAGCAGTTCCAGAACCTAGCTTCTGATCCTTACAAAATTATGTCACCAGGCAGCTACCAGTATATCCAGGGGAGACAAATGTCAGTCTTGGTTTTAATGTTGGGTTAGCATACACCATGGCATCAACCTGCTTTTCTCAAAGGGCTTTGGTCAAGAGGTAAAGGAATAGTCATATTAAGGTTATTTAAACACCTGAATAAAATTAAGAAAATAATACTATTGGAAAGTACGCCCCGGTACTTTCATATCAGACATCAGACTTCAAAGAAAAGATGTACTTGAGGTCTGATGGAGGTATTTTACAATTATTTAGTCCGGTTTTCTAAGGCATGTTAGAAGAGTAACACGGCACATGGCTTTTCTCCCTTCCCCCAAGTAAAGATAACCACTAACCAGTCTGGTTACCCCACGAACACCCTGCCATCTTTTATAACACTTTGCTTGTTACCCTGTTGCATGCAGCTTCATCCTTTCCCTTGGACTGAGCATGAGTGATGTGTGGCAAGGTTAAAATATTCTCCACAATGAAACTTATGTTTATGCTTTTGAGGTGTGACATTTCTGCTCAGGGCTCTGTGGCTTTTTTACAGAATCCATTTTTCCAATTAAAAAATAACATTATATTAAGAGCATCTTCTTTTTACCAATTAGGTCAAAGTCCTAAAATTTTAAGACCCAAACCCCCTGGTTTAGAGCGAACTGATTCACAAACCATAGGTGACTTTGCTACAAGAAGAAAGGGTATGTACTTTAGCACCGCATGCTGGATGGGGCATTGGGAATTTCTTTATTTTGTGATGTTTTTTCTTAAAAAGTAAAGGAGAAGAGACTTAAATACTACCGCTGTTGTAAATAAAGTTTCCTAGCACGTTATTTCTAAAGTGAATGCTTCCCATAATGTGTGTCTTCCGATTGTCTTTCCATAGACGTAGTAAGTCTACTTGTTATGCCATTAACAGCAGCATGTTAAGTTTGATAATACATGGTATTCAGTCTTGTTCTTTTACATTATTCTCTTAACCTTTTAGACATCAGTGCATTGTTTTCTTTAAGCTTGTTAGCTACTTGTGAGTTCCAAATGTGTCCTTTATTTATATATAATGTTGTATGTATTCTATTCTAAGACAAAATACAGAACCACTTCCATAGATTCATTATTTTATGGCATTATTTAGAATTTGACTGCTAAACTGCCATTAGCCTTTGGGTTTCAAAAAAGTGAAACATAAGGAGTTAAAGAAATACGTTCACTTAGCACAGTATTCTGTGCTGGTCCATTTTAAGGGTATAGATGAGCAAGATTTAAATTTAATCTAGTCTTTAGAAAATCGCACTGAGTTTTTCGTATCGAACAGACAAAAATACTTATAAGCCCCAGTGAATCGACATTGCCCTTTAAAATGACCGCCTATTTTATACTTTGATTGTAATTGTAACATAGTTGATTAAAAATACGAGTTGAGTAAAAGTATGTCTATATATAGACAAAGACTAGAAGAAAGAAACCTAGAAAAATGAAAACTTTTCTTTGGAGTGGCAGAATGAAATGTAATTGGAATATTTACCTAATATGTTTAAATAATCTCCTAAAATATAATTAGCATTAACACGTAATATTGTTTTAGTTCTTCTGAAAAATGTTTCACTCTCATGAAAAAAATGAGAGCTCTGTGGTATGCACTAGCGTGGTAATTGCCTATTGTGATAATGAGGTAAATAAACAAAGACCACTTATAACTCAGGCTAATAAGAATATTATTAGTGTGTTTATTATTTAATTTGATATAAAGGATATTGTTGGTTAAATTAAGCTGAAAATTCAAGGTAATTGTTCAATTAGGCCTTCTCTCAGCTGAGTGTGAGTCTTAAAATATTATTACTTTTATTTGTTTTCAGACTGGGCTTGAATTAATTTAAAAGATTTAGTGAATTCTGTTTTCAGTTTTTGATTTTATCAGAGTTTTGTATTTAATACTTTTTTGTACGTCATACATATAGCTGTACAACTGATGCTTCAATATTGAATAGAAATGTTTTTACATAGATTAAATCTCCATACTTGAGAATAAAATTATTTAAAAAAAAAAGAAATAAGGAAGTAATGAAAACTGTACATCAAATAACTGTTAAGGAATTGGGTCACATTACCCTTTCTTTAGTTTATATTCATAAAATATTAAATTAAGGAGCAACATGATGTAATAGAGCTTTAGACTTTGAATCAACAATCGTGAAACATTATCTGATTTAGCTTTTGTCACTAATTATTTAGCTCGGTAACCTTGGGCAAATCACTTAACACCCATGAACTTCGTTTCATGTATGAAACCATTGGTCTTAGGTGTGTTTGGCTATAACACATAAGTAGAGACATAGAGGATCTTGTTTTGTTTTTCAAATGTCTGTATACTGAAGCCTCTTTTTCTCTCTTTCATTTCAGCCAAGCCAGCACCTTTAGAAATAAAACCTTTGCCAGAATGGGAAGAACTGCAAGCCCCAGTTAGATCTCCCATCACTAGGAGTTTTGCTCGAGAGTAAGTCTTTGTTTGAAATGTGTACCTTGATTGTTCACTATGACGGAAAATACCTGAAACAGTGGTTCCCAAAGTATAGTCTGGGGACCCCCCCCCTTTTTGGGGTTCTGTGAGGTGAAAACTATTTTCATTAAGATTCTAAGATGGCATTTGCCTTTCCACTCCTGCTTCTCTCATGAGTGCACACTGGAGTTTTCTAGGGACCGCGTAACGTATGATCACATCCCCGAGACAGCTAATAAATAGAATGTGTATTTGTGTACTCTGGGTTTTAAAAAAAATGTTCTCTTATTTGTAATACAGTAAATAGATACAACCTATATAAACAAAAAGTTCCTCAGGGTTCCTGGTAATGTTCAAGGGTATAAAGCATTCATGAGGCTAGAAATTTCTCAGAACTACTGATCTGGCAAATACGGTAGTTTCTTGGCAGAGGTTATTTAATCAGAATTTGCTAAAATGTACATAGAAGAGGCGCCTGTCTGGCTCAGTCAGAAGAGTATGCAATTCTTAATCTCTGGGTCGTGAGTTCAAGCCCAACATTGGGTGCAGAGATTATAAATATAAATTTATATATTTAAATTATGTATTTATACAGAGATATAAACAAACAAATATATATAGGTAATTAAAGGATATGTGAAGTTATAAACTTGCGTTAAATATGTGTTCATGTTTTATGTTTACATATAGGTAGCTGTATTTAATAGAAACTTAAATCTTCCTTTTCATGTCTGTGACTTTCTACTTGTCCCCCAAATCATTAGCAATACTTTTTTTGTTTTACACAGGAATTTGATGCCCAAAGGCCTACTTTTTACAATATAGCTATAAATATTAGGTGTGCATTTGAGGGTTTGCAGTAAGTTGTAATGAATAAATGTGTACAATATATGATTGTAAACTTTAGTGACTGTTGGTGAAAGAATGTAAACGATCACTCATTTTTATCTTGGAAGTGATTTTAGAAATTGTTGTCAAGGTTTAGGTTTGTAACGGTAATCTCTTTAATTAGTTCCTCTAGATTTCCCTTGTCTCCCCGACCGGATTCAGTGCATAGCACAACTTCAAGCAGTGACTCACACGACAGTGAAGAGAATTATGTTCCCATGAACCCAAACCTATCCAGCGAAGACTCAGTATGTAAAATTTGCACCTTAACTTCTGTCTTCCTGAGCAGCCCTTCCAAGTTGTGCACCTTTCTTCCAGTCTCTAAATCTGGCCCTTACATCCTTCTTTATATACTTAAGGAAACAGGATAGAAGACAACTTTTTAAAATGCTTTTTAAAAATAGCATTGTAAAATTTGAAGCCGATAATGGGTCAAAGTGTAATGCCAGTATTTATAAAGTAGATTAAAAATGAGTTAAAAATCATAAAAGCTTTCTAGTTATATTTATTTTTGAGAAATAATTGATTTTTGAAACTGTTCAAGAAAATATACTAGAAGCATTTCATAATGCAGTTCTCCAGAACCTCTTCATGGCACTCTTATAGTGAAGTGATCTTCTATAGGAGGTCTTTTGATAATCTTCAATAATACACTCTTAGATAAGGCTTAAAGATTAAAGACCTGTTACAAACCTAACTTGTTTCATATTGGCTGTATTACCACAAGGCACAAGAATTTTGTAATCATAGCAAGCCTGCGTTCCCCAGAAATTAGATAGTTGCCAGAAAATACTTCAGATACTTAAGAATACAAACCCATTTTAATTTTTAAAAATATTTTGCTTATGTTTTCCCTCTAATCAAATTCAATTCTTGCTCTGCTATTTGTATTTTAGTAGATTAGTGTATTGGTACTGATTAGGTTCACCTCTGAGTAACAGACATTTGTCTCTTTGTCGTGTAAATAAGTCCAGAGAGAGTCTAGCCAGGGTTGTGTGGCAGCCCTGTCCTAGGAAGCCCTTAGGGATGCCTGCCCCTTCCAGCTCTCCAGTCCACCATCTTCTGGGTGTGGCTCACATGCTCCTAGAACAAGATGCTGCTGCACCAACACTTCACATCCCAAGCTACAAAACAGAGGAAAGGAAGAAGAAGCAAGGGTACAGCCTAACTAACTGCCTTATAAAGAAGGTTCCCAGAAACCGCCATACACACAGAGACACAAAGGGGCTGGGAACCATAGCTTTTCTTCTGAGGGACAGCGGGCCTGACTAAAAATCCCATTCATGTGAGAGAGGGGAGGGCAGATATTATCAGGGCACAACCAGGTAGTATCTGCCAGGAGAAGCAGAAATCTGATGTCAAAATTTGGAAGGATTAACATTTTAGTGGCTTTATTTTCTTTAATTTTTTTTTTAACGTTTATTTATTATTGAGAGACAGAGAGACACAGAGCGTGAAGAGGGGAGGGGCAGAGAGAGGGGGACACACAGAATCTGAAGCAGGCTCCAGGCTCTGAGCTGTCAGCACAGAGCCCGACACGGGGCTCGAACTCACAAACTGCGAGATCATGACCTGAGCCGAAGTTGGTCGCCTAACTAACTGAGCCACCCAGGCGCCCCAGCTTTATTTTCTTTAAAACAATACTCTTTAGGGATTCAAAATACAAAGTCCATTTCTCTCGACATGTTTTATGTCTTTAATGTACTTTAGGCAAAAACAGATTCCTCACAACCCTATGTTGTCAGGAAACAAAATTAAGTGATTTGAAAAGCTTGATTTGGTGCTTAAACTCACTTTAAAATACCAAATTTTGGCAGTGCTCAGTATGAATAAGATAATGTAAAATATTTACATCAGCCTGGATTAGAATACAAACCAGCTATATCAATAACACTTTCCCTAATTTTAAGGCACAGCAATTTTTATTAATTGGCTTCTGCTTTGGGATTCACTGTTTTTCAACTTGATAAGTGGTGTTTTATTATTTTTATTACCTTATTTTTTTCTCATTATAGCAAATAGACTGGGAAAAGTCTACATAAATCCTCAGTGCTACATCAGAGTACATATTATCATCAATTTTAATCTTTAGGTGGCTGAATGGACTTTTTATTACAAAAGTAACTTTTTTCTGAGATACTAAAGCGTGTCCTTTTGCCTGAAATAGTAAATTACCATAAAAATTTTGCAAAGGGCATGTAATAGGAAAGTTTGGAAGTGTGATTTATCATGAAGGGAAAAGACTAGAGAGAAAAATATTACAATCAAAAAGTCAAAGGAAATAAAAATATGAAATTGTTTGTTCTTTTATACCTCGTAAGATATAAAACATTAAGCCAGAAAGGTATTTTTGCCTGCCAGCTGGTGAATTTCTGAAATACTTAGGTCCTAAGTGTTAGAAAAAGCAAAAATGTTCTGGGTGAAAATATCTGCCCACCATTCACAATAGAAAAACCAGCCACCATTTCCATCTCTTCACACTGCCAGCTGCAAGGGTTGATCATAATCCGGACAACTCTTCCTTAGAAAAGAATGTGATAGTTACAGGATTATTTTCCACACCTCTTTGCAGTTAGTGCATTAAAGGTATACCATAGAAATTCACAAGATGTCATTGTGCCTGGATTGATCAGTAAAAAAAATTTGTCTTGGAGAAGTTGAGACAGGATCAGATCAAACCTGGCTTATACCTACAATGAAGATTAAATTCTATACATTGACGTTTTGAAGCATGACTTATTTCTCATACTAGTGATCACGGAGCAGGTGGTGTTTAATGAAACAGTGAATTGGTGGTGCTGCCTGTTAATTTATAGAAAGATCCAAAGTCAGACATTCGTGAGGTGAACCCTTAATGTGACACCTAAAATGTGAGGTACCACACGTCACTATTAAAGACATGAATATTGTTATACAACAGTAACAACAAAAATACCTTCAATAACTTTTCACATTTTAAAAAGAATTTTAGAAAAACAAAGCACAACTGTTATCTTTTTTCTTAATTCACAGAACATTTGTGATAACTCCTAGAATCTTAGGGTTTTTCTAAACTGTTTTGGGAAAATACTGGGTTAAAGGCTAGAACGCAGAGACAGGCTGTTCGTTGTTGAAATTAGATCTAAAGCAAATGGACTGCCTTGCAGGGACACAAATTTTAACAATATTTAAAGATGAAAAATTTCCAATTCTAATAATAACTAGACAGAAAACAGTTTAACCAGCAATTCTGAGACATTTCTCTGTAGGAACAACTTACTGAAAGTAAATGTGTACATCATATGAGCTCGTGTGTTCCTTTCACGAGCCTTGCAATAGTATGAACAACCGTAGGCATTTCCAATTAGGGGTATTCCAGGTGGGGGTTCTTTCACAAGTCACATTTGAATACAAAATTGTACACACACACCACTCCCCTGCTTGATATTTTTACATGAGAATGAAATGTAGAGTCATTCAGAAAAAAACCCAAAAAACTAGTTTCTTTATAAATTAAAAAAAAAGGGGGGGAGAGGGGAATGGCTATTTGTTCATAACCTTTTTTGTGCCTTACATGTTATTGTTAAAATTTTTTTTTAGTGTTTTATCACCAGTAGTTGGTAAATTCAGTTTAAAACTCTGTTCCCACAGGGGTGCCTGGGTGGCTCAGTCAGTTAAGCGTCTGACTTCAGCTCAGGTCATGATCTCATGATTCGTGGGTTCGAACCCCACGTGGGACTCTGTGCTGACAGCTTAGAGCTCGGAGCCTGGAGCCTGCTTCAGATTCTGTATCTCCCTCTCTCTCTGCCCCTCCCCTGCTCACGCTCTGTCTCTCTCTGTCTCTCAAAAATAAAACAGCGTTCCCACAAATAGAGCCCTCACATTCCAGCATGCAGGTTGCTTGCTCACATTACACACAGTATGTAATGTGTCGAGTAGACTGCATAGTACTGCATTCATGAGTACATGCAGTTCAGACCATGTCCTGCTCACTAAGCTGTGGGCCCTGGCACAGAGCTGGGTAGCCCCACAGGAAGGAGCACCATTTTCTAATTCACAAAAATGTTTCACGCAGGCTGTCAGCAGCCCTGCTTCAAATGAGGGAATAGAGTCAATATTGAAAATTCTAGCAATTATCTTTTTCCTAAATCACAGCTTACTCTGTGTGACTTGAGCAAAGACAAAAGGAGTAGTGATATATAAAAGGATTAGCAGATCCAGGTTTATGCAGTTTCCAAATTGTTTTGTTCATCATAACAAGTATAATTTTAAGTATATCACATCGTTAAGGTTTTCTTCAAAAGTATGTGAGTATTCCTATCTCTGTGATAGAAGACAAAAGAATGCTAGCTGCTAGTAAATATATAGTCTCGCCTATGAGAAGTCCAGAACATTTCTGGGTGAGGTTCAAAGCAGCAAGGCAGAGAAACAAGGCATTTGTTGGCACACCTTGGGAAGGATTGTCGTAATTCACATAGAGGTCATATGTAGGGGCGTCAGTTCGTGTCATGCTTTCCTTCTTATGAGCATTGATCTTGAAGTTCCTAACATCCTGTTGATTTTGCATTTTTCTGCCTTAAGCTTTTTTGTTTTTGTCATGTATTGCTGTCCTCTATCTGTCCTTTATCTGTTTATGGAGAGTAACCCTTGTATTGTACAATTCCTAGTAGGACAGAAGGGATAAGGCTAAAGAGAAGACAGAAGAAATTAAGAGCTAAAAATTCCAGGTTGAAACAAAGCGGACTTTGCCAGTGCAGTCATTGTTTGTAGGCTTTAGTTAACATACATATTCTAAGCTAAATTTTAGCGTGAAAGTCTTAAAATACAGAACTTTTTAAAAATTTTAATTAGAAAGCAAGGAATGAAAGGATCCAGTAGTTTAAAAATATAATCGAGTAAAGATATCATTTAAATAATGTTCAGTTGGAGCTATTGCAGCCAACTCTAGCTTGATGTTTTGGTCTTAGTTTGAACCCAGTTTGACTCTTGAAACCATGTTTAGCTTACTCTAAAGCCTAGTTGTAATCAGTTCTGTTATATATATCACATATGTTCCTCCAATCCTAAAAGCAGATTTAATTTTCTCAGAAGACATTTTTTTTTTTATTAAACCATAGCCTCTTAAAATAAATATTTTGGCTTTGGTAGATGGCAGACAAAATAAGCAACAGGTCTCGTGGATGTTCGATAGTAGATTTCATTGTATCACCATTTTCAGAATCTTTTTGGCAGTAACAGCCTTGATGGGAGAAGCAGTCCTATGGTCAAGCCCAAAGGAGACAAACAAGTAGAATACCTAGATCTGGATTTAGATTCTGGGAAATCCACACCACCACGTAAGGTAAGTGAAATCTCATTCTATAGACAAAATTAGCTCACCTTTTAAAGCCAAAGAATCATGTTTCCTTTGGGGAAATTTTATTAGTATGTTTAATTTAAATTTAGCAAAGTCTATTACTTAATATTGTTTCATAAGTCACAATTAACAAAGTCATGGAGAGTAATCCCTAATGGTATATAATAGAAATTATACACGTTCTCCTCTTTTAGTGGTTACTGTTGAAATGCCTACTTTACAAAATCTTGTCTTCATTCTCTTTCCAGTGTTAGCTCACATTATTCCCCTTTTGATTTACATGCTATTTTTGTCCAAAGTTTTGGTTTTTTACTTTTGTTAAACCACAGATTACACATTAGTAGTATTCTGGGTTTTTGTTTTTTTTTTAATGTTTATTTATTTTTGAGACAGAGAGAGACAGAGTGTGAGCAGGGAAGGGCAGAGAGGGAGGGAGAACACAGAATCTGAAGTAGGCTCCAGGCTCCGAGCTGTCAGCAGAGTGCGACACGAGGTTCAAACTCACTGACCGCGAGATCATGACCTGAGTCACAGGACGCTTAACCAACTGAGCCACCCGGGCGCCCCAGTAGTATTCTTATTATATAGGTAGTGCTTACTTAACATTGTCCTACATATTTACCACCTTCCCTTTCTTATCATTCCATCTTGTTCCTCAGTCTTTCCTGTCATAATAATTTTTTCTTCCTCCTGAAATACATTCTTTAGAAGTTCCTCTTGTGGAGGTCTGTTAGTAGTAAATTCTTGCAATTTTTGTTTGAGGGAAATGTCTATATTGTGCCCTCATTTTTGAAAAAGAGTTTTTTTGCGTTCACAGTTCTTGATTGGCAATATACTTCTTTCAACACATGGAAGATACTATTCACTATCATCTGGCTTCCATTGTTCCTACTGAAAAGTATGTTGTCAATCTAGTTACAGTTACTCTATAGATAATTTGTCTTTTCTGTCTGGCTGATGTTAACATCTTTTCTGTATCTTTGGTATTCTGCAGGTTTACTACAGTGTGTCTAGACATCTAGACGTAGATTTCTTTTTATCTATCATGCTTGATGGAAGTTGTGCTGTTCTTATTTCTGGATTTGTATTTTTTATCAGTTCTGGCAAAGTCCCAATCATCTCTTTAAATATATAGCTTTTCCACTCTTCCTTTTATCCTCTCATTTGAGGTTTCTTATTAAAGATTAGTCAGAACATATTCTATTTTCTGTGCCTCTTTTCACTTTTTCATATTTTGTCTTTATTCATCTCTTTGTTCTTACTTGGATTATTTCTTTAGTTCTATCACCAGGTACACTAATTCTCAATTATTCTGTTTAACCCATTGTTTAATTTTTAATTTCAATTATTTTTAGTTCTAACATGGAATTTTGCTCTTTTGTTTCCAATATGCATAGCTGTTTTGAATAGCTTATTTCTTTCATGATATTTTATTCCTTTTATTTAGTTTTATTTTTTAATTCCTTTGAAGATTTTATACACACATAATTTATTCTGTTTATGCAATCATTTCAATATCTGAAGTCCTTGGAGGTCTGAATCTGTTTATTGTTTCTGCTCACACTCTTGATGGCTTGTTTCCTTCCATGTTTTATACACTTTTTGCAAATTCATTTTGCTGAGTCTATCTGAGAATCCTGCAGACTTCAGTTTCCTTCAGAATAGATTTACATTTTCTTCTGCTGGGAAGCAATGTGCTACAACTATAGGACCACCTCAGTTTGTTTCATTGGTCCCTAGCTTAACAGGATAGCCTCAGATTCGACACACCCTCCCACTGCGGGCCTCCTGATTGCATTGCTGAGATTGACATTCATCTGAAGACAACAGTTCCTGTAAAGTTTACATTGAACAGCTCTTCATGCCCTGTTTCCCTCACACATTGGGTATTTCTCTTACTTTCTAGAGAGCCCGGCAACACATTAATAATTCTGTTTGGGGACGCCTGGGTGGCTCAATCAGTTAAGCGTCTGACTTTGGCTCTGGGCAAGATCTCACCATCTGTGGGTTCGAACCCCACGTCGGGATCTGTGCTGACAGCTCAGAGCCTGGAGCCTGCTTCAGATTCTGTGTCTCTGTCTCTCTGCCCCTCCCCCGCTCACGCTCTGTCTCTCAAAAATAAATAAATGTTCAAAAAAAATTTTTTTTTAATGTTTGTTTATTTTTTGAGAGAGAGAGAGAGAGAGAGAGAGAGAGAGAGAGAGAGAGAGAGACAAGAGCACAAGCAGGGGAGGAGCAGAGAGAGAGGGAGACACAAAATCCGAAGTAGGCTCCAGGCTCTGAGCTGTCAGCACAGAGCCCGACATGGGACTCGAACCCACAAACCGTGAGATCATGACCTGAGCTGAAGTCAGTTGCTTTAAGCAACTGAGCCAACCAGGTGCCCCAATAATTATATTTGTTTTAAGTTAGTTAGTATCTACTTGTATTTTAGAATAAGAGGTCGTGTCATCCTATGTAGTTTGCCATTCTTGAAATATTGTTTTTCAAAAAACATTTCTCAGCTCTGCAAGTCAACACTGGTACATGTTCTGAGGATTTGAAAAGGTCAAGGTTAAGCTAAAGGGAGAAGCAAGCTGTGTATCTTAAGATGAACCAAATGGGGCGCCTGGGTGGCGCAGTCGGCCAGGTCACCATCTCGCGGTCCGGGAGTTCGAGCCCCGCATCGGGCTCTGGGCTGGTGGCTCAGAGCCTGGAGCCTGTTTCCGATTCTGTGTCTCCCTCTCTCTCTCTGCCCCTCCCCCGTTCATGCTCTGTCTCTCTCTGTCCCAAAAATAAATAAACGTTGAAAAAAAAAAATTTTTTTTAAGATGAACCAAGTGTCTGTGATCCTTATTTTATAAGAATTTCATCTGTGTTGGGAGCATTCATCTAAATTCTTACATACAGTGATTTTAAATTTAAGGGGAAAACAGTGTACAGTGAGGAGAAAAACAACATTGTTAAATTGAAGTAATGTTATTTTTGTATGTATGTGACCCAGTAGAACTTCAAGAGTTATTTACAGGGCATGAGTGTCTATGTTTCAAGGCTAAATTTCACCAAGAAGAACTCTCTTATACGTGGGGTTTTATGGTTTTCTTTCTTTGCTTTTTAGCAAAAGAGCAGTGGCTCAGGCAGCAGTGTAGCTGATGAGAGAGTAGATTATGTTGTGGTTGACCAACAGAAGACTCTGGCTCTAAAGAGCACTCGGGAAGCCTGGACAGATGGGAGACAGTCCACAGAATCTGAAACACCAGCCAAGAATGTGAAATGAAAATATTGCTTCGCTGTTTCTGAATAACGAGAACTGAATTGTAAACATAAATCCTGTTTGAGATGACCTGACACTTCTATTCTAGGTAGATCCTCAACTGAGTACAATTGAAGTCAGAGGACTTTTCACACATAATCAAGCAATTTAGACTGTAAATGGTGCTTTGTGGTATCTCAACAATCCATAACATGTAAATAATGTGGGAAAATACTATTGTTTAGCTCCCAGAGAAACATTTGTTCCATAGTTAACACACTTGTAGTATTACTGTATTTATGCACTTTTTCATTTAAAACGTTGGTTTGGGTATTCCCAAATGTTCCTTAACATAATTCCTTTGGGAGTTCTTGTTTTTCCTCACACTACTCTATATAACAATACTAAGTTAACTAAGCTACTTTTAGATTTGGAAATTGCTCTTTAAACTGCACTCTAACAACATTAAAATGAGAAGTAGATTTACAATTTACCTGTCTACCTGAAACATCAGGTGATAGCCATTAGCCTAAACTACACAGTATAGACGGGCTCGTCATTCACTGCGTTCCAAAGTGCTGAGGATAATGTATGTACTGGTGTCAGGAACTAATTCTCTGGTTCATGTACATTTAGTTTTCAATGGTGGAACTTTATTATATTTTGTTAATTACAGTGTTTTTGGTTCATTGAGTGAAGATTCTGCCAGGTGGGATCTTGCACCTTGGGAAGACTGAATAATTACACTATCAAGTAAGCCTACAGATCACTTACCGGCATGCAGTGATGATGTGCTCTCACACTTGTTAACATGTATTAAACTTTACATTATTTGCAAAGATAGATTATATAACCAGGTACGTACCAGGCACTGATGTGCTAATACACTGATCAGGTTTAGACAATGAGCTTTAGTTGTGTTCTTGTTAGTCCTAATATTGGTTTCCAATTTGGACTTAAGGAAACATTCACTGTTAGTTATAGCAACATACTGTGATTTTTTTTTTAATTAGACAGTAATTCAGATTTATTACTCTAAGAATGAAATTCTATCTTTTGACACCATAGTGCCCTTTCTATGATTTTTTTAACTTTACTTAATATTCTTCTTGGCCTTATATTTAAATCCCTATGCAATTAATATTTTATATCTACATTTTTTTAAAAAAATAGATGTTCTATAAGTGATTCTTGTATGTAGCACCAGTTGCTTTTCCAGTAAAAGAATTAAGGATTTTGTACTGTGATTTATATTCACTGCCCTAATTTGAGAAACTTTGGAGTATTGTTATAATGTGAAATCTTAGAGTCATGAACCTCTTCCAACCAGATGTCTGAAATCACCAGAGGAATTATATAATTCTGTCTCACCTGTAATACGGTCCTGTGATACGGATATCAAAACCACAAATTATATATAGTGAGACTACAGTTGTATTTATCTGTTTTGGCTTTGCAGTGTAATTTAGAAAGCAGGTATAATTTGTTTGTTTGCTTGTTTTTTTAACTAAGTTACAAACAATCTCTTATGTATTGATTTGGGACTTACTAACAGTTTTTGGAGGAGGCAGAGATAAGAGTACCCACAGCTGAGGCATGACTCCCTCCATTCAGACCTCTAACTGTTGCCTGAACACACAGATGTGCCCTGATTTCTGGTCTTTTGGCCATAGTACTGTGCCTAATCAATGTAATGGGTTTATTTCCCCAATCCACGAACTAAAATTGTTCATAACAAGATGAATTGTAGACTAGTAACATTTGATGCTTTTAAATGTTTGCTTCTTTTTAAACAAAAACTAAAACTCAGAAGTGAATTTTCAGATGGATTTTTAAATAAAAAAGATTGTTTGAATTTGGTGTGCACAAGCTGTTTTGTAGTGAAACCACAAAATAAAATCCAAAGTTACTGAAATGTGCCTAAACCATTAAAACACACAACACAGTTGATGTGTGAAGATGCTAAATTGTGTTATGTGGAAAATGAATGTATTTTCAGAATTATAACACAATAAGTATATTATTAATTCAAAAATGGAATCTTATCAGAAGAGTTCTAAGGCAAATAGACTTTTAGTGCAGTTTTTCAATTTTTTACAAGTTACCTTTTTGAAGAGCTGCAGCATTCTAATTGGTCGAAGTTTTTCCCATTGTGCAGAGTAATCTAATAACTGAAATGTGTTAGACAGTTTTAGCAAATGAAATCACATTATACATCGTATTAACAGATTAAAAGATAGTTTCTTACAGAGCATTATTTTCCAAACATTTGTTGAATAAAATTTTGTGTAACCCCAACACATAAAGCCTGAAAAGTTCGTTTTGTCAGTATAAATATTTTGGGTTCACATTTAAGTTTATTTTAGTCCATTACTAGGAATAGAATTTGTGAATAACACAAATGTGTAATTGGCATTATAGAGTTGGTGGAAAACCTCAGCAGCCCATTTATTTTTAGATCTTATTTTATTTGCATACTATCAAGAAAATTTGGGTTCACACAAACATAAGTAAGTGTAAATAATAGCAGGTTTTAAACACACATCTCAGGAGGTTCTTTAATTAGAGATAGCTGAAGTTATATTCCAAGGTTTAAAAAAAATAAATTATTCTGGTAGTAGAAGTTAATACATAAGCATTCTCCAGTATGGTTTAAAAAAAAGGGGGGGGGGATATTTAACACATTAGAATGTGCATTTTTATTAAGTTTTCAAAACTTAATTTGATTCAAACCTTTTGAAAACCCTAATCACCTCCAAGAAGCTGAGTTTTGGCCCAGTGAGAGTTGAAAGCCACTGGTTAATCATGTGACAAAAGTCAGAAGTCTTTTTCTCCCACATGTTTGATGTTCTTACTTTCTATTCCTTATTTTGAAAAACTGTAAAATCTTATGAAGGTTTGAATACCAAAGCACAGTTCTGCTTTCAAGAATTGAAATTTAAACTTGAATAATTTAAGCTACTTAAGCCACAAAAGGTATCACTTAGTAAGCTATAAAAGATGATTTTTATCTACACTCTAGTTTATACAATTTCATCTTTATTTTCATCAATACCTTGTAAGCTACTGTGAGCATTTTAGAGAATTCCATAAAGGTACTATGAATGTGTGTGTGTGTGTGTGTGTGTGTGTGTAGCATTGTATTTAATCCTAGACTAAATTTGATACAGAAAATACTGCTATACTTGCATCTTAAGGTCATGCATCAATTTCTTCTGGACTCTTTGTATTTAATTAATGGGGGTCACAATCTTCGTATTCATAAATGCATTTAAACTGGAAATTGAACACCAGTGTTTGTCTTTCTTTTTCTACTAGTAGGAAGTTGTCTGCTTACCCCCTTTAGTGAAAAGGTATTTTTGATGTTTTTTAAAATGTTAGCTACTTTATGCCTGTACTATAGACACTGATCATAATTCTTGGATGCTTTCAAACACTCTTAGTGCCTCTTTCTTTGGCCCATTGAAAGTACTGGTTAGTAGTATTTTGAATGAATACAAAGCCAGTAAAGTTATAGAGACAACGAGGTGAGCCTGTCCCTCCTAATCCTGTCCTGGGTCATTCCCGTAGGTCTTGTCCTTTATTGTCAGATAAGCAATCAGCTCCATAGCAGGGATTGTACATATGACCAAATCAAGTGATTACAGGGAGAGAGACTTCTATCCTAGGGTAAGACTTCTTGTCAGTAACATCTGATATGTTATATGTAAATCTGTATGTAATTTAAAATACAGCTCTTAGATGAAAAGCCATGGTGTATATAAATAATGTAGACATTATGGACTTGATAAGATGAAAAGTTGATTGTTGGGTTGTGGAGATAATTGGTTTTTACTCTGACTAAATATGTTTATTACTACAACTTGAAATAATTTAGTTTGTCTTCTCTTCCATAGACGTAACTTTCTTTCGGTTCATTATAATGTCTGTTATGAGTCTCAACAAACTGTTTAGTCAACGGATTAACGTAGCTTCTACTTTCTTAACATAGAAAGACATGGACTTGTGTGAGTTGTTGTAATCTGAATCAATTGTTGATAATCATCCCAAATTTCAACAGCAAAATCTTATGTATAAGTTTATTTTTCCCTCTTGCACAACTTCTTTTGTAAAGATCCAATTGTAGATATTTTCTGCTACCAAATAAAACTTTTCAAACAGTTTGGTTTCAAGACTTCAGTCAGTTTGGATACTGAGATTGTAAACCAAAGACATATAAATTTATATTTCTAACCCTTCCTCAGAGTCTTTATCTAAATCAAAAACCCAACTCTGCCATTAACTATATGTTGTCCCTTGAACAACATGGGTTTGAACTGTGTGAGTCCACTTATTCACAGATTTTTTTCAGCAAATGCAGAGCAGTATTCTAAATGTAATTTCCTTATGATTTTCCTAATAGCATTTTTCTAGCTTATTTATTGTAAGAATACGGTATCTAGTACATGTAACACAAAATAGGAGTTAATTGTTTATATTATCAGTAAGACATTAGGTCAACGGTGGGTTATTAGTAGTTAAGTTTTAGAGGAATCAAAAGTTATATGCATATTTTTGATTGCGCAAGGGGTCCGTGCCCCTGAGTCTTGTTCAAGGGTCAGCTGCACTTCCCAGCCTTACGTCTATAGGGGTCACTCATTTTCTGCAACAAAGATTGCACTAGATCATGCTAAAGTACAGTAAACACACCCTAAATAGGAAAAGCTTCTGAGACGGTTGCCACATGCATATGCTCTTGTTATCCCCTCATCTAACCAGTACAACCAGCCTTTTGTTGAAGAGAAGGCCGAGAAGTAAGGGTCTGCATGCAACCTTCTCCATCAGAAAATACTTTCTATATATAAAACACGACTTGGGAAATGATAACTGGCTGGGCTTTTTCATTTCTATGAGAGTTTCCAAACACCTGTACTACTTCATAAAACCCCAAGAAGGACCATGTGAGTCCTTTGGCCACTCATTCCAGCATTTTGCAACTTTGACTCATTAAATCGTATTTGGGAAGTTCTGGGAGGGTGAGGTTATCTTCTCTGAGATCATTCTCTCCTCATCTGTGTTTCTATCACCTTGTAAATGATGAAATTTCTGACTATTTGCATATTATTTCTTTGGGGAAAAAAGCTGCTTTGATAAACACTTTCTGAGTTACAGTTTTATTAGGAGAGTTTTATGGAGAATAACTTGGCAATTCTGTGAATGTGTGTTGTTGCATATTTAAAAACTGAGTCAATGATAGGAGGCATTTTATTAACTGTCGTGATGGGTAACATTCCTCCCTTCAGTTCCCTGTTTTATTACAAAAAGTGTTTTTGTAATAAAATAAGTTGAACATATATAGAAAACTAAGTTTCTAAGATGTGTTTCTATACTTCATTAGACAGAATTTTATTACTATTGCCGTGGTTATCTTGGTGATTAACTCTTAGCATAATGTAGCTCTGATTTTGTGTTCTGTGTAATGCCCAGAACATTTATAACACGCAGTGTGAGGGATGTAGAGTGTACAGAAAAGAAAAAAAAAATGCCCCCAAAAGCCCACTTTCTCAAGTACCAGTATTGTGATGGTTGTGTCATCGTGGCTAGGCTGTGGTGCCCATGTGTTTGGTCAAACACTAGTCTAGATGTTGCTGTGAAGGTGTTTTGTAGATGTGGTTAAAGCAGATCACCATCCATAATGTGGATAGGCGTCATCCAATCAGTTGAAGGTTTTAAGAGCAAAAACTGAGGTTTCCCACAGAAGAAGGATTTCTGCCTCAAGACTAGCGTAGAAATCCTGCCTGGATTTCCACCCTGTCAGCCTGCCCTACAAATCTCAAACTTGCTGGCACACAGTTGCGTGAACCAATTCCTTAAAATAAATCTCTCCGATGGATGGATGGATAGATCAGTTGATTGATTCTCTTGGCTCCTTCCTCTTAGAGTAACAAAATTGGTAACCCCACCTATTTTTCTTATTTGGTTTTTATGATGGTGTATTAGTTTGCTAGGGCTGCCATGACAAAGTATCATCAACCGGGTGGGTTAAAAACAGAAACTTAATTTCTCACAGGTCTGGAGGCTGGAAGTCCAGTTATCAAGGTGTTGACAGGTTTGGTTTCTTCTGTCTTCTCTCTATGACCATTCATCTCTTCATGCACATCCTGGTGTCTTTCTTATAAGGACACTAGCAGCATTAGATTAGCACTTATGCTTATTAGAGCATAGGATTCCTTATGACTTTATTCAACCTTAATTACCTCTTTAAAGACCCTATCTCTAAAAGCAGTTACTCTCTGAGGTACTTGGGATTAGGATTTCAACATTAGTTTATGGGAGGGGGAGAGGTGTGGACAGAATTCGTTCCATAATAGATGGCTATAATATTGTCATCTACCTGACCGAATGCACCTTGGAATAAAAATTATGTCTTATCCATCATTATTTCAGTGACATTCCTGGCAGAAAAAGATGGAACACTCGAAGAAGTAATTGAAGAGAGTCAAATGAAGGAATTACTGCATATCTGGATCTGGTTAAGGGAACAAACAAGGAGTGGTTAAAAACCACTTAGCAGCAGTCAGAAGGCATTAATATTTCTAGAAGTAAGAAGGCAAGTGGAGGGTACTGTAACTGATCTCCAGTTAGCAAGATAGCAAGAACTATCCACCAGCAGGTGCCTTACTCTTAGATAGAAGGACACAGCCACTACCAAAGTCAGACCAGAAGGGAGGAAGTCCGATTACATCTTCCATGATTTGCCATTGGCTAAAATTGGCTAGCAGCCAGAAATAACCCAGGAAATGAAATATAGGGGTCAGCCTCCCATGGCACATGTCAAGGCAGAGAAAGGTAGAAGGCATCATCAGATCAGGTGGGTCAGAGAAAATCTTTAACAATATTTATAATTATCGTGTCAAACCATCAAGGAAATAAAGGGCCTGTGAAAGATTGGATTGCTAAACAGTTGATCCAAGCTCTTTTTGGAGTGCCACCCTGTACTACAGGAGCTGTAAGTATAAAAACTACATTTCCCAGACTTCCTTGCAGCTTGACTTTTGCCTATATTTGACCTCTAGGCTAGTTGCATTCACTCAAACTCAGAAATCGAGTCAGTGAAGAGGGAGGCAGAACTTTGTAGGGGCATCAATCTTGTTAAATCTAGCAGTTTGCATTTAGTAAATGAAGCAATGAGTTCCTGATGTTTGGTTCATAGCTAAGGTAAGGTATTCACCTTCATGACGCCATGGGCACGTGATCCTGGATTCAACCATTGGTACAGTGGTTTCCTAAACCCAGACTCCCGATTGTTCCCATGTCTG